ATTGGCTACTTTGCATTTGCTTGACTTTTCTTTGTTGCCTGTTTTTCCATTTTTTCTTTCGCTGCCTCTTGGTGCCTGCTAACTCGCCATCAAGACAGCCAGCAAGCCAACTAGTCAGCAGTGGCTTAAACTAGCTGTTGGCGGTTGTTGTTGTTGTTGTTGTTGTTGGTTGGTCTTCTATTGTTGGCTAGTACTTGTGGCTGTGTTGAGTGAAGCGTGTAAATCGTTGCTGGCATAGAAATACATAAATACGTAGAAAGAGACGAAGAAAGTCATGTGGCATATTCTCCTCCATTTTTTTTTTTGCTATGGCAATGGTTAAGTATTGACTTAAGTTTGCATACTTTTTACACAGCAATAAATTTATTTGTATTAGCATTAAGCTATTGATGTATTTCTGTATACGGTGACCATATTTATGGGAGCCAAATACGGGACAAAAAATAACTTTACAAATTTTTTCCACAAAATTTTACGTGTTTTAAAGGCTTCTTTAATTGGCCTGAAACGGCATCCTTATATTAACTTCACAAATTTGTAGGATACCTTTCAAAGGAGAGCTCTATCCCGTATAATACAGAACGGATGGTCACCGTATGTATGTATGCATTTTATTTCGTTTGAAAAAACTGTTTGTGTGGCTATTAACAAAACTTTCGATTCATCAAAAGCAATAAAATTTGGACGATTTTACTGATGTAAATTTGGCTTTAACGATTATTTTAATTAAATGTTTAACAGTCGTAAAAGAGATTTGCTATTGTTTTTATTACGTATTTTTATATACTTAATTCATTAAGTTTTGGAAAGCAGTTTAAAAGTTTTCACTTGAAATTCGGCACACTAGGGCAAAGAAGCCTCAAATGAAACCTTTTTCTTTTGACGATGATCGCTGATTCTTAATGGAAAGGGTGCCAGCCTGCCAGGCTGGTTGATGTACCGCCGTGGTTGACATGACCGCCATCAAAGGAATGCTATGGTAGTGTCACGATTAGCCTCCACTAAAACTGAGTTGACTGGCTGTACCAACGTTGAAGGGTTGTAATCCCAACAGGCAGCCGGCAAATTTGATATCCGACTCTCTGGCCTGATCTCAGGGAGCGCTCTTGAACAAACCGATTTGTGGAAGCAGACGTCGGACTATATCCTTCGATTCCTACGTACGACTTCTATACAAGTAATTGGATTTCAGCGAGTCCAAAAGACCAGGAGTGCAATGCCGCTTCAGCGAAAAAGATGCCGCCAATAGGCAGCTAAAGACCGAAGCGAATCGTATTGTTCATAACAAAAAAAGAGAGTCCGTAAGTTGCATTGTAAGCGACTTACAGAAGGTTTTAAGACCACGTCGAACTCCTGTCAGAACAAGCACGGCGTCTTAGTAACGGATGTCCTAAAAATATCTTAATTATGGTGGGAAAACTTGCCTGTCCTGTTGCATGGTAACAGCGCTGAAACTATTCGAGAAGATGAACCCGAGACCCGAGACCAATGGCGATGCAGTCGGTGTGCCACCGCCCGACGATGAGAAGGTGCGATTGGCACCAAACCTGCTGGAGCTTATGATCTGCCAGCTTATCTATGCAAGTGAGTTGGTGAGGAGTTGATAAAGTGGATGCATAAAATTATAGCGCTGGCATAGAAAAAACTTTGCTGAGTCCATTTCTTCTAAAATATTATATTTTGATGCAAGGAGCGTGAACCATTAAAGGAGTATCATTTTCTAAAAGACCTACTACTATTTTTAACCGTTTATATTCTGTGATGCGATTGATTTGCTAAGTCCAAAATAATCACAGAAAATGTGATAAGTCACAAGCAATACAAAAATATTAGGCCAGCGCCGGCAAAACCGTTACCGGGTAATCGGACACCGGAAAGTGTGTAATGGCACTAACTACTTTTTTTAAATACCACAAAGTTTATTTGTAGCAAAATTATGTTCTCTTTCAGGCCTGTTCTGAGCATTACCTCACATTTTGCAATCAAAACATTTAAAAAATAAATTAACAAAAACTGAACTGGAAACTGTATTCGCCGGTTACAAATATTTTTTTTTTACCATCGCAGCATGGACTTCTAAAGTAAACTTATGCCGTAACCAAACTACATATTTGCACTCATTTAATTCGAAAAAAGTTACATAGGGTTTTAAGTTTTGAATTATAATTTTTTTGTTTGTTTTTACATCTCTGAATGAATAACAAAAACTAGAGTGCCAGTCACTGTCGAAATTGGACAGTTTTTCTAGTTTTAGAAGCCTTGGAGAGGTTTTCTAACTTAACACGTAGCACAACTTATACGGTACAAATTAACTAACCGGAAAATCTTCTGCTAAAACGTAACACATTTTTTTTTTATCTGAGAAGGTTTTTGGAGGAAATCGGCAGGACTTGGAATTGACCCGATACATTCAAGTTTATCGCTAAATTTCAATGATTTGATACATATCGATAGTTCGATGAATTTCAAGAACACTAAAATTCGATAACTCAACAAAATTCGTTAACTCGACCAATTTCGATAACTGTGAAATTCGATGGCTCGATAAATTTCGATAACTCAAAAATGTAAAAACTTTCGATAGCTTTATAAATTTTTACTTTTGACATCTCCACATTTTTCGAAAACTATCTAAACATTTTGATAACTCGTTACACTCTGTTAAGACGATTAAATTCGATAAGCAGTGATAAATCGATAAGCTTATATAACCTTGAAATTTCGATAAATCGATATATTTTGAACTTTCCATAAACATCGCTTCGTTGAACCAACCAATTTCAGTAGATCAATAATTATCGATAACTCTGTAAGTTGAAAGAACTCCATGCATTACGACACCTCGATATATTGCGTTAAGTCTATAAATAATGATAATTCAATAAATATCGATAACTTGATACATTTCTTTAACTTGGCAAATTTTGTTAATCCCACACGTTTTTATAGCTCGATAACTATCCGTAAATTTGGACCACTAAGTTTCTGTGTCTATAAATTTCGACAACTCAATAAACATTGATCAGTTTGAATAATTCGATACGTTGCGATAACTTAATAAGCATGGATAAATTTCGATAATTATAAACTTCGATGATTCGATAAATTTCAGTAACCTTTATGGCTGATTTTATTTCGATTCCTATCGGAAAATTTCAACTCTGTTAACCTAATTCTTATGTACTTCTCATTATCTCCATTTTCGCCTTTATCTCAATTTTTGTCTTTATCTTCACTTTTGCCTTTTTTTGTCTTCATCGTTATCACTTGTTTCTTCATCTTCATATTCAACTTTATTTCAAAGTTTAATTTCAAATACGAAGTAAAACAAAATGCGAAACAGCTTAAATTGAACAGGTTGCAAAAACAACCATACACAAATATGGAAATTTTTAAACGACGATTTTCAACCAATTTCGAAACTATAAAAACTCTCCTCATCTACAGAAAATTACCTTTCCAACGGTGTTTTTGGTTTTGAAATCGGTAACTTTACCTTGGTCTTCATCTTTGTTTTTATCTTTCACATCTTTGCTTATATCCTTTTCTTTTTCTATTCACGTAGATGAGATGAGGTGCGATGAGGTGATAAGATGTGACGTGATTTTATGTGATGTGATATGATTTCATGTTATGTGTTGTCATATCCTGTGATGTCATGTCATACCATATGATGTCATATCATGTGATGCTACGTCATGTAATGCCATGTCATGTCATACCATGTCATATATAATGTCATATCACGACTTGTCGTGTGATGTGATATCATATTATGTGATATCATATTATGTGATGTAATATCATGTGATGCCTCTTCATATCATGTGATATAATGTGATGTGATGTCATGTAATGTGATCACATTCCATGTTCCGATTATTATATCGATAACCCTGTTGATAACTGTGTTGATAAAAATACCGATAACAATATCCATATACATATAGAAAAATACAACGATTGTAAAATCGATTAATTGAGCGATAAACATAACAATCATCAGTATCGATTATTGTAAATATTGTTAACAATATAGATGACTAAATCGATAACAAAATCAATTATTTAGTCGATTATCATACCGATAACAATATCCATTATTGTATCGATAACTATACCGATTATTATATTGATTATTATATCGATTACAATAGCGGCTATTTAATTAATAACAGTATCGATAACAATAACGATTATTTTATCGATAGCAATAGCGATTATTATATCGATAAAAATCTCGAGTTTTATATCGATAACAATATCGATCTTCATCCTCATCCTCATATTTATCTTTATTTTTGCATATTCCTGGTCACCTTTACCTTAAAGTGTTTAAATTTACTTTGATCTTCGTTTTTGCCTGTACCTCTAGTCATCTTTGTTTTTTTTTTTTTTTATTCTCAAACCGCTAAACCGCAGAGAACCATTTCCAAGTGCATTATTCCCCTAGAATTTGACAATTTACTCCCAACCAACCAACTGCCGCTAAAGAAGTTTCACTTCATAAATTCAAGAAATGTTCTTACCCTTTCAGTTACCCTAATTCTTATGTATCTGTCATTGTCTCCATTTTCGTCTTTATCTTCACTTCTGCCTTCTTTTTTTTACTTCATCGTTATCATTTATTTCTTCATCTTCATATTTGACTTTATTTCAAAGCTTAATTTCAAATGTGTAGTGAAACAACAGGCGAAACATGTCAAATTGAACATGTTGCAGCAACATCTACACACAATTCGAAAATGTTTAAACGACTGTTTTGGCCGTAATTTTCAACCAATTGTGAAACCATAAAAACTCTGCTCAACTACGGAAAAATGCCTTTCCAACGGTGTTCTTGGTTTTGAAATCGGTTCGGTAGAATCGCCAAACGAACGGAGACAAAATTTATGTTATCGTATTAATATATAGAAGATATAATCGGAAGCTATCGTTTTGGGAGGACATAGTAGTTAAACAAGGGTAGCAGAGCAGATTAAATATAAAATACTGCTTACCTTCATCGATTTGTTCGTTAGCTTGGCAATCAATTTCTAGACAGTTTTCATTTATGAGTAAAATCATTGCAATCTGAAAGAATATAGAAAAAAAGCTACCTAATTAAATTGTTTTTGATAAACTTTTCCATAAAAATATGTAAACAAATAATTAACATATGTATGTATGTATGTATGTAAATCAATATCGGTCCAAAAATGCATGTGAAAAATTAGAGTTGGAATTTTTACGCTCTCACCCCCTCGCATTCTTCTATACCGAAAAAGATATACTCATATTTTTTTTTATTTTGAAATCAAAAAATATTTACAGGTCGCTCAAAGCGCTCAAAGTTTACCATGTATTTTATATGGGGGAAAAAAACTTCCTAGAAATGGTATAGAATTCTAAAAATTCAATTCACTTTCCCATCGGCAAAATCTGTTTCTCTACACTAGATTCCCAATAATAATACCCAAGTGTTTACTTAACCATTTTTTTATAGTAGCTATAATTTATAGGTCCGCCAAAAACCCCGAAAAAAGCAATGGGGGGACCAATAAAAAATTGTGGGTATTAAAAAAAATTGTTAAATAAACAATTGGCTTTTATAATTGAAAGTCTCCTGAAGAAAACCAGAGTTTACCGATGGAAAAATATTGATTTTCAAGAATTCTATACCATTTCTACGAAAACTTGTTATCCCCATATTAACACATGAAAAACCTGGAGCGCTTTGAGCGACCTCTAAATATTTTTGATTTCAAAATAAAAAAATTGGGGTTTACGTTTTTCGATATAGAACAATACTAAGGTATTAAAATTTCGACTTTAATCTTTTTAGACCACCCTAATGTGAATACATACACAAAGTGAATTATTTTAATTTGACGTACGTAGCGTTTACTTCCTTCTCAAATCGAAAGGAGTTTTATATGCAAAATTTGTGGCATGAACGCTGCAAATTACTCTACGTGACTCTAAAAGTACCACTTCACTGTAAAGTAGACCGTACAGGCAAAACATCGGATTAGGTAACTTTACCTGATCCGTTAGTTTCCCACTAACGACTCGTTGGTCCTTACCATAAAAGTGGAGGCCTAGTCTTAAACCTTAATCGTAAGGCACATTCTGATGATTTTTAAAAATTAGATATTTGGGGAATGGCTAGCATACTTTCAAATTGAATTTTTTGGGGAAAAGTCATCATTTAGCGACATCTGTTTTCGAAATACAGCACTCTTCTCGCGAATTTCGGCAGTTATGGCAGGCTAATTGGTTATATGGATTTTTAAATTTAAATTTAATAAGTAAAATATATATTAATAAATTTTCGAATTCAGGTAACTCACTAATGGAGTTTTCGTTTCTACAAAAAATGTTGCATTTGAACCCAAACAATTTCTCTTTTTCTATATCTGGTAATAATTATGATCGTATTCTATCAACAAGGATACGCACTTGCTGCTAAGAAATGAGCTAGCGGAATCTATATATAAATATATATATTAAGGTGATCCTTTATTTAGTTTCTACGTATGAAAAAGACATCCACAAAAATATCAAAATTTTGAGCAGATTTAGAAAAAATTTTAATTTTTTTTTTAAACGCGAAAACTGGAAACAATTTTTACTTGAAATCTAATCTGCTGGCAAATTACACCATGCGGCAAAAAAAAACCAAACGAAACAATCAATATACTCACGAAACTATGGCCCAAACATTTTTAAGCTGAGTTTTTAGTTTTTCCCTCGTACGTCATGGTTTTTATTTAAAGCACTTTGAAATTTCAAAGGTAAGATTAATTCCAAAAATTATTTAAAAAATTTAGTGAAATGTACTAAATGGGTACCAAATGAAGGAGAAAATTTCGTAGAATTAAAAAAAATTAATTCTGGTGGACAAGGACGTACTGAAAATGCCATTTCGTTAGCTAATAAAGTTACAAGGACGAAATTCAAGGATGTGGTCGTGTGTATATTAGTCTATTTTTATTTTATTTTTTTAATAAACACAGAAAAATTAAATACACAGCTTTACTATATTTGGCTCACAGTTTAACGATTATATAGGTTTCTTGTGTGTAAAAGTTACTTTCGCACGTTGCTATTAAAAGTTATTCATATAAAATCGTAAACTCGCTGAGTTATAGCTGGTTAAAGTCCAAATTAAATTTTTTTTAATTTTTTTTTTTATATGGAAATTTTCACGGATTTCTTCATATTGGACATAGCACAAAAATTTGGGGGAAGTAATTTTCATATTTGAAGGACTACCTTAATGTATACTTGCTTTTATGTAAGTCGGACTACAGGACGATATGAAGTTGCCAGGCGAAGTTTGATAGTTTTCTGGCCGTTCAATTTTTTAACTTTGTCACTCGTTAAATTTTAGGTAAATATTTTACTTTGTTGTTATTCATTTCCTAGGTGCTGTTGCAAATGTGCGCAAACCCATTTTTTCTTAGTATTAGTATGTGAGCATTACATGTTGCACTGTGAACATTTGTTGCACTAATTTTATTTGTAACACAGCCGTGAGGGAACAAAATATGGCTATGAACAAGAAATAAGTTGGTACTGTTGACTATTTTTCGGTTGTTTTTTTTTTTTTTTTGCTTCGTTGCTTATGCTTATACTCTTTCCATCCTGTTGCACATTTTCGTTTTAACGCTGCACCGATTTTATAGCGCGCAGTGCAATTTCATATCGCCTTTTTTACTTAGTTGCTGCCTTTTGTGCATTTATTGTCGCTCCAGATTTGTTTGGGTTCAAAATTGTTATGCTATTTTTTCCACACACACACACACACAAACACATAGAGTCGCAGTCATTGTTCGTTGCGAATTGTGTGCCATAATTCCCCAGGCCCCTGGGTATGCTAGGCGAGAGAGCAGCAATGAGACGAGCGCCCTAGCTTTGTAGTCAACCTTTTCGTTTTTCAATACTCGCAAATAGTCAACAACTAGTTTGTGTATAATACGTATACTTAGTAGTGCAGACCAAGCAGCCAAGCAGCCATTCGGTTATTTGCTAGTGAATTTCCACAACATTGCAGCCACCGTCATCCAACCGCTTAGCCAAATCATGGGCTCACCACTTTATTCCTTCCCAGTTGCAGAGCTCTTCTATACCACGATTGACTTAGCGACTAGCCGGCATGCCATCGATGCCAACTACATACATACATACATATTTACTCGTACATATAGTAAAATAATGATGTTGTTAGCGTGCTCATACAAGAATTTGTGTAAAAAATATAACATTTTTAAAGCTGTATGTTTGTGTATCCTTTCAACGTCCCTATTTGCTGGACATGTGTAAGCATTCACCTACATTATATGTACATACATATGTACATTAGGGATGTTAATTTTTTCGCTTTTTACGATCCCGGCATTTTCGGTATGTCGTTATCACAATCCCGGTATCCCGGGATTACTTTCGGTATTTAGATATTCATTACTTTTTAACAACATAAATCGAAAAAATTGTTTTTATATTGTTTGAGAAGCTCTCCTACCATAAAATAAATAATAAATAAATGGGTTTGGAACCTACATTTTTATTTAAAGTGGCATTTTTATGTTTCCTCTATGACGTCAGCATTTATTTTAAAGCGCTTTGTAATTTTAAAGATATGATTAAACCCAACAATTATTTAAAAAATTAAATGTGATGTGGAGTAAAATGAGTACATTACAAATTAACTAATTTTTTCATTTATTTTTTTTAATTTTTTCGAGCAAGCAGTTGTGTAGCCCATTAAAGTTTAGTATAATAAAGTGCATGTTTTAAGCGATTGCAAAATTGATGGTAGTTTTTTTTTAATTTTCTTTGAAAATGGTTTTGCGCATTTTCTTCCATAACTATGCATAAGAAAAAAGTGTAAAAAGCCGTCAACATAAAAAATATTAAAAATCAATGCAATTTTGCAGTAGCCTAAAACTTGCTTTTGGTTTAATGGGCTACAAGATTGCGTACTAAAAAAAAAAAAATCTAAAAAAAACTTAAAAAATTTGTAAATTTGTAATGTACTCGTTTTACTCAACTTCGGTATAAAAGGAAAATTAATAACTTAAATTATTGTAGAGTGGATCCCATAATACTATACTTAAATATTGCGCAATACTCAGAGCTACGATTGTGATTTTTTTTTTTTTTTTTTTTTTGAGATGGCATATTTTCAAAAACTATTTTTTTTTATTAAAAAATTTGTATGTGAGAAATTTTTCAAGAAAAAAAATTTTAAATATTCATTTTCTTGGAGAATTTTGATGTGCATATGCGTGAGAGATATTTGGAAAACTATTAAATCGATTTGTTTTTGATTTTGTGCTGTAAAGTTCTTAAAAATGTATTAATCAAGCTCAAACTTCATATTCATTTATTAATTATGTTTATGCAGCAAGCCTAAAAATTTTAAACAAATCAAACACATGAAGTGTGAACCCCGTCCGTTTTGGTATGGAATGCCCCATATACAAATCTATCCTCGGCTTAGTACGGGTTTCTAAACTAGGTATTTAAATTTATCTGCCCTTTTTTTGAAACACAGATTTTGTTCTGAAAAAATTTTTTGGAGAGCCAAATAAATTTTAAAACCTACTTAAGAAAGCGGCACTTAGACAAAATAATACTGCTTAAGTGATACATATTCCAAAACTTTTCAAATTTTTAGTATTGTATTTACACAAAATATACTGCAAGGTTGGTAATAAAAAATTCTTTCCTACACGGCTATAAAAACACCGTATGCAAGTTTGTGCGTGTACGGGCATGTTTGTATGTATGGATTGTTATGCGCGCTTGTATTTATGTTGCAATTTCGTAATATTTTTGACTTTTCCGTTGTAAATCGTTAAAGTTCATAGTAAATCGTTGGCTTTCTTTTATCCCCTGTGTTGTCATTGTTACTTTACAATCATTTGTTGTGCTTATTTTTTGCTGAAGTTGATTATGTTTCTTTTTTAGTTTTGTTTCTTGTTTTACACTATTGTTGGTGTTATTGTTAAATTGCTTAGTATTTCTTATGCTTGTTTCTATACCTAGACTTTTATTTTTAAATATACCAGACTTTTTTTTTTATT